TACTTTAGTAACATAAGCTTTGATCTGTTTTGCAGGCTATGCAGTTAATGCAAACACCACATATTAATGGAACACTATAGTCACCCAGATCACTTCATCTTATTGAAGTGGTCCTGGTGTAGTGTCAAAGTCCCTGTAACCCTGCAAGGTAAAACATTGCAGTTTTTTTCAACCCCTTAAGGACAGGACTGTTTTTGCAATGTTGTACATTTGCGACCAGGCATCTTTTTACACTTTTGTGGTGTTTGTGTTTAGCTGTAATTTTCCGCTCTCTCATTTACTGTTCCCATACAAATTATATAATGTTTTTTTCAGGACAAAAGGGGCTTTCTTTACATAGCATTATTTATATAATCTCATGTAATTTAATTTTTTTTTTAAATGAAAAAATATGATGAAACATTTTAAAAAATACATGTTTTCTGACTTTTACTTGAAAAATCTTTTACTCATCTACAAAAGCGAATGAAAAAAACTGCTAAATAGATTCAAAATTTTATCCTGAGTTTAAAAATACCCAGTATTTACATGCTTTTTTGCTATTTTTTTTGCATGTTATAGGGCTATAAGTACAAGTAGGATATTGCGGTTTCAAAACATACATTTTTAAAATTTATCAATAGTGACATTGTAACACTATTATCTGTCATAAATCTCTGAATAACACCCCACATGTACATATTTTTTTTAAAGTAGACAACCCAGTGTATTCAATATGGGGTATGTCCAGTCTTTTTTAGTAGCCACTTAGTCGAAAACACTGGCCAAAGTTAGCGTTCATATTTGTTTGTGTGTGAAAAAAGTAAAAAAACTAAATTGAATTTTGGCAAGTGTTTGTGAGTAAGTAGTTACTAAAAAAGACTGGACATACCACATTTGCAATACCTTGGGTTGTCTTCTTTTGCAAATGGTATGCCATCATGGGGATAATTCTCATTCCTGGGCTACCAAACGCTCTCAAAGGCAACGTAACCAACCTGGCCATTTTCGAATGTAAAAATATTTGACCCATATATTTGACCCTGTAACTTTCAAAAACACTATAAAACCTGTACATGGGGGGTACTATTATACTCAGGAGACTTTGCTGAACACAAATATTAGTGTTTCAAAACTGGAAAACATATCACAACAATTATATCATCAGTAAGAGTGCTGTTTGTATGTGAAAAATGCAAAAAAAGTCACTTTCACTGACAATATCATCGCTGTGATATGTTTTACTGTTTTGAATCACTAATATTTGTGTTCAGCGAAGTCTCCTGAGTAAAACAGTACCCCCCATGTACAGGTTTTAGGGTGTCGTAGAACGTTACAGGGTAAAATACAATGCTAGCAAATTAAATTCTCTGGAATTTCGGCCTGGGTTGGCAGGCAGGTCCCTCAAATTGCAATCAATAAAATTACTGAATTATGTAAAAATATTACATAAATACGCACGTAGAATTTAAATATATAAGCATATTTATATATTTGAAGTCTACGTGTATATTTATATAATTATTTATGTAATTTTGTATATGGACATATGTATATTTCGTATTATTTTTATTTATTTATATATACATAGATATATATACAATTTCATTCTAAGTGTATTTTGATATAAATATCAATATCAGTCCTTAAGGGGTTAAATCTTCAATGTTTACAAGGTTAACTCCTCCTCTAGTGGCTGTTAGGCACTTCCTTGCAGGGTGACCAGATCCACCATGCTTACAGGGACACATATAATGTTGTCATATTTATGAAAATGCATGAAACAAGTTGCCCTGTGGTTTGTATAATGCATATTCTGAAGGATTCTTCTTTGCCTAAGTGCAGGATTCTTCATTGCTTAATTGCTTAATCTGAAACACATTCTTCTGAATTCAACATACTGCAGGCATACCCTTTTTCTGTGCTGGACATCAATATGTATATATGACATGTTTTCCAGAAAACAAGGTGGATCTTGATCCTGCTTCAGTGGAACAAACCGAGTAAAACTCATGTGATGCAAAAGCCACATAGGAAAGCATTGGTTCAATGTTTTCCTATGCGAACGTTTGAATGCATGCACGGCTCTTGGTTTTTAACCCTTTCACTGCTGAATGGGAGGTGACCTAGTAGTACTAGGGACAGGAAGATTATAAAATTAGGAATACAGATTTGTATTCTTAACGTTCTACTATTTCTTTAAACCATATAGTGCTAAGCATAATAAAGTATTACTGTTAGCTCAGCTAGATATATTAAATGGATGCTCTAAGCACCAGAAATACTACTTCTTAATGTAGTAGTTTTTGTGCTAAACACCGTCCCTCCAGTCTCAGCATTGCAAACACCTCCTTTGCTGAGAAAAGGCAGTGTTTTTTCTGCTTCCGAAGGACATTTCTAGTGGCTGTCACTTGGACAACCACTAGAGGCACTTACTGATGTGGTCCTACAATTTTTGAAGGACCAACATTCAGCATTGTCACGCTCTGCATGTTAACTACGTATACTCCTCATATACATTACTATTAGGAGATGTCAAGTTGCCCTCCAATGCTTCCCTATGGCGAATAATTGGTTTGGCTGAGAACATCAACATTGATGTTTTCAGCTGGGAGGAGTGGAGGCTGCGACGAAACTGGCATGATGATGGACTAAGGCAAGTAAAAGGTTACTTACCATCAGGGATGTACCTAGAATATTTGGCACCCGGGGTGGATCCTATGTTTGGTATCCGCTTGTAAACTTTGTAAAACCCCTATCTGCCGCCTTCTTCAAAACCCCTGTCCTGCCCTGCCCCTCTCCTACAAAACATTGTCCAGCCCCCTTCTACAAAACCCCTGCATCACCATTTCCTGCTCAGCCCCCCTTATACAAAATCCAAGGCCGGTGCAAGGATTTTTGCCGCCCTAGGCAAAAGAAAGATTTGCCGCCCCCACCCCTCCCCCCCACCGGAACATCGCAATGCCCCACCCATATGAACTAATGCCATTGCTGCACACAGTGTGTGTTTACATTAAAAAGCCTGCAGGGACAAACTATAGACACCAGAACAACTTTATTAAGCTGCAGTGGTTCTGGGGACTATAGTGTCCATTTAATGTGAGGTAAATTAGAGATTAGTGTCACTAATAATATACTAGATTGCCTACTTACAATCAGATGAGGATGGTGATCTCTGATCTGGCTGCAGTCTGGCTCCACTGGTCTAGAACAGGATCTCTGGAGGCTGTTTGCAACTGTGGTCACAAAATTCAATGTTCTGGGAGAACGGGAAGCAGCTCCATTTTTGGGGCCTCTTACATAGCTCAAGGTCTGGGCCCCAGGGCCTGACGGTGAGTATGCCCATAAAGCCCACCCATAAGGCCACCTACATGTTCCACCCATGAACTCACAGGGAGTAGAGTGTGTAGGGGATGTGTTATGTGTTACTGTAGAGGATCTAATGTGTGTGCTTACGGAATGTAGTGTATAGGGATACCAGTTTGTGTAGGTGATGTAGTGTTGTTTGTGTAAGGGATAGAAAGCAGTGAGTGTTTGTGTATAAGGGATGTATTGTGTGTTTCTTGTTGTGTGTAAGGGATGCATTGTGTGAATCTGTGTTTGTATGCATAAGGGATGCAAAGTGTGTTTCTGTGTATGTAAGGGATGCAGTGTGTGTGTCTGTAAGGGGTGTGTTGAGTGTGTGTAAGAGATGCATTGTGTTTCTGTGTGTGTGTTTGCATGTGTGTCTAAGGGATGCATTGTGTGTGTTCTGTGTATATGTGCAAAGGATGCATTGTCTTTATGTGTAAGGGTTGCATTGTGTGTTTCTCTGTGTGTAAGGGAAGCATGTTGTGTTTCTGTGTGTATAGGGATGCATTGTGTGTGTGTGTGTGTGTGTGCGCGTGGTGTGAAAGAGCTCCCTGTCCCCCTGTCCTATAGAGCTCTCCCTTCCATTCCTTAGAGATCTCCCCTACCCCTTAGTGGTCTCTCCTCTCCCCCCCACCTCCCTTAGTGGTCTCCTTTTCTCCCCGACTTTCCATTAGTGGTCTCTCCTCTCCCCCCACCCTCCCCTAGTGGTCTATCCTCCACCCCCTCCCTTAGCGGTCTCTCCACTGCCCCCTCCCTCCTTTAGTGGTCTCTCCCTCCCCTACTTTCTCATCTCCCACCCCTCGTGTTCTCCTCTTCTTCTCCCCCCGTGTTTTCCTCTTATTCCCCCCCTCCCTGTGTTCTCCGCTTCTTCTCCCCCCTGTAATCTTGTCTTCTTCTCCCCTCCCCCCGTAATCTTCTCCCCCCCCGTAATCCTTCTTCTCCCCCGTAATCTTTCATCTTTCTCCCCATCAATCATCTCCTCCCTCCCATCAAATCATCTCCTCATATCTCCCCCATCAAACATCTCCCCATCATCTCCCTCCCATCAAATCATCCCACATCAATCATCTCCCCCCATCAATCATCCCTCCCTCCCATCAAATCATTCTCCCTCCCATCAAATCATCTCCCCATCATCTCTCCCATCTCCCCATCATCTCCCCCCATCAGCTCCCCCCCGGCCCCCCTCCCAGCAGCTTCTCCTCACCTCCCCTGCACTTAGCGTGGCCGACTCCTATCCGGTCCGCGACCCGGCGGACTGACAGGAAGTGCACACTGAGTGTGCACTTCCTGTCAGTCTGGCCGGGTCGCGGACCGGGTAGGAGCTCGGCCACGCTACAGGGCAGGGGAGGTGAGGCACTGTGGCAGCAGGATTTAAAGGGCCGGCGATGGGGGCGCAGGGCGCCCCCTCCTATATGGCGCCCTAGGCGGCTGCCTAGTTCGCCTTATAGGAAGCGCCGGCCCTGACAAAATCCCTGCCCCCTTATACAAAATCCCTGCACCACCACACACAGTTACAGGCATACAGTCAGTACAGTCACACACATTTACAGGCAGACAGTCACACACACACAGTTACAGGCAGCATCACACAATTATCCGCAGACAGTCACAAACACATAGTCACATGCAGACAGCCACACATACAGTTATAGGCAGTCACACACATAGTTACAGGCAGACAGTCACACACAGACAGTTACAGGCAGTCACACACAGTTACATGTAGACAATCACATATACAGTCAAAGGCAGAAAGTCACACACATTTACAGGCAGACAGTCTCACACACATCAAAACAAAAGAAATAGGTGACTCCCCCGTGTAAAAAATCTGGTGCTGCCAAATCACCCAAGTGTATTGTCACCAAATATACCTAAAACATGAAGCTGGTATGTATGCCAGTGAGATACATACCAGCACTTGAGGAAGACCCAATCTGGGTTGAAACGCATATGTTTTTATTGTGCTTTTATATACAAAGTAATAAATAGTTTATACCTACCTAGCTCTTCTTGGAGTTCCTGATTCAAGCACCTTGCCCTTTGGGATTTCAATCTCTGGAGGAAGTTACCCTATGTCTATAAGGAGACATATATGCCCTATAAGTCCAGAGCCAACTTTTATTGGGCTCTGAAAAGTGCGAGTGTTCAGATTTCTAACACCTATTCACATATTGTATATACAGATTACAATATGTTGTTTTCTGTTTTTACTTATGTATAGGACATTTTAATTACCTATTCAATAACTATAATAATAATTTGTATAAAAGGTAATATCTTAATCTATTGGTGGCGCTTATCACTTTTTGGTTTTATATAGTCTCACACACACACAGTTACTGACAGACACACACACACATACACACACACAGTCACATGCAGACAATCACATATACAGTCACAGCCAGAAAGTCACAGGCAAACAGTCGCAGACACACACACACAAAGTTACAGGCAGACAGTCACACACACACTCTACCTCTCACTTACAGTATGGGCTGGAGGAGGAGTGGATTCGCTAAAGTCCCTCCCTGGAGTCTGTTAGTTTGGGAAGCATGGACTCCTTCCTACTTCCCCTTGATGTGCAGCAACGGGTGAGGGTCGTGTTAAGCCCCGCCCCTCTGACTGCTGCACACAGCTCACAGATCCCTGGCACCCCCGTACCTAGTGGCACCCGTGGCGGACTGGCCCCTCCCACTCCCCCTTACTATGCCACTACTTACCATTTAGGGAGAGGGGGGGGCTAATATTATAGTGTTGTGAAAATACTCTAATGTTAGAAACACATGTTTGTATTTCTAACATTAGAGTGTTTCTCTAACTAAAGAATATGGACAGCAACTATAAGTAATTAAAGGGAAACAATCACATTTCTGTATATCACACCATCGAAAACAACATTGAAAATGAACCCATAACTAGTTAACTAGTGTAGAATACCACGGGTAATCCGACTGGTTACCTCCTATAATTCCTTCATTCAGCCAGACTGGAACCATTAAAACCTGCAGACATCCATTACCCCAGTAACCAGACAAAACATAGTTCTGGGAGTCAACTGATTTATTTCCGACCACAAACGGCTTTTATGCACATAGTCCTATATGGGGTCTCCAATACAATAACACAGGTGTTTCAATCCCAGGATACTCTGTGCCTGTGTGAGAGATAATTGCATGAGTAAAACCTATAATTCAATTATCTCTCAGGTACAGAAAATCTATGCAAAATATACAGTACCCCAAAAGTGCCCCCACCATAACCAGGAACCCCACAAACGTTATATCCCCAGATAGCCCCGATCTGAGTGTATAACATCTAAATATCACTCAGATCGGTTCGGTGAAACGGTTATGCAATTGAGATAACGTTTTGACCGGCTGGACACAAGACGCTAGCCCAAAACAGTTCCAGGGAAATAGGGGTCCTGGCCAGTCTCAGTTCAGGGGTTCCTGTGCGAACACCATGCAAGGGATTATCTTACTTTCAGGGTATGAATCCTCCCCCTGTTCGGTAATTTATATCTCCCGAATGTCGTTTGCATAGTTGGTCGGGAAGTAGAACGGGCATCGGTCTAATCTTTACCAGGGTTAGTGCGAGTGCCTAGTCAAAAAGAGTTCCAAGCACTCGATGACCAAGTGCCGCTGCCCACATTCGGGAGACAACATGGCTGCCATTATTTTGTAGACCATGTACATTCAGTTATACGAAATGGTGGCCACCCAGGGGTAATCTAATTTTTTTCATAGAAAAGTCTTAATACAAATAAAAACACAAATTCATAAACATGCTGACTGGGACTTGCTACGTAACTTTGATCGCGTATGTGCGATTTTGGCAGAGGCTGGCTCTCTCACTCTTCGACTATGGTCCAACAACACCCCATGCCTCCCTGTTCTGACTTACCAACTGAGGTGTCACATGTTGCAGGATGCAAAGGTGTTGGAGGCCCGTCTTTCTGCAAGCAGCAGGTACGAGGGCTCATCTGACCCCTGCACAGCTCACATTCCAGGAAAACCCTGAAGAAAAGGTGGCTGCACCGCAGCAAAGTGGCACTGGCTCGGGAACTACGCAACATACCCGGAGCGCCCCAAAGGAGAAACATGGTGGTTATACCTGGGGGCAGTTCTGCGGGCTAATGTGCCTGGCTCATTGGCCTCAATTGGCTATGGACTCTGGGTTAAGGTCTCGGGCGGGCACAAAGGGTCTCTACTAGCCCCCCACTTCCCAGGCCTATGGTCATGCCCCAAGAGGGTGTCGGATAGAATTGCCGAGACACTTTATTTGAATACATTCATTATGGCTTTTGATTTTAATTTGCTTTCTAAGCATTATTTATCTTTCTCATACAATGCTCTAAAGGGCCTTGAGGAAATTTCTGAGATAAATGATTATTCAGTGTATAATTATTTTATTAGCACTCAAAATACAAGTGTGTCTACCCTACCTAGTGCTCTCAATACACAACTGTTGTTTTACTCTGTTCCAGTCTCTTCTAAAGCTCTGACAAGTTGTTTACTCAGCATGTTATTATATTTCTATTTTAAAACGTGAAAAAAACAAATGGTGCCTTTCATGCACATATATATGTTTATACTGCTCATGTCAGCGATATATGTACTCTATATTGTATAATGTCGATGCATATTTCATGTACTTTGCTTGAACCAAAATAAAAAATAAATTAACACAAAAAAAAAAATCAATCAATAAAAATAGACAAAGCAACTAGCCCAGTTGTTTGAGCATCAGTTGTAGCACCAGTTAAAACCTAATGTATTCCTGACCCTATAGTGTTTAAAACACTCTCTAACCCCCCTGACATCCCTTGCACCCCTAAATATAGTAAAACCTTTATTCCAGTCTGCAGGTGCTGGCTCTACCCCCGATCTGCCTCCTTTTCTGACATCATCAAAAGTGGTGATCTGAGCCAATCACAAAGCTTTCCTATTAGATTAACTGAGATTGCCAAGGAGGTGGGGCAGGGGGTGGAGCCAAATGCCACCCTGGCCAATCAGCATCTCCTCATAGAGATGCATTGAATCAATGCATCTCTATGAGCAAAGTTCATTGTCTCGATGCAAAGGGTGGAGACACTGAATGTCAGTGCTGCATGCTGCAATGGCAGTGCAGCACTGCTCCAGCAAGTACTTCTAGTAGTTATCTTAGGAGTGGCCACTGGAGGTGTCCCTAGGCTGTAATGTAAACACTCACTATCTCTGAAAAGACAGTGTTTACTGCAAAAAGCCTGCAGCGACTGACTATACTCACCACAATAACTACAATAAGCTGTAGTAGTTCTGGTGACTACTAAACATCCTAAACTATTTAAACATCCTAACATTTAATCCTTCTTAGGTTGATAACCTGAGTATTATTGAGTTGGGTAATAAACATGAAAACCCAAGAACTTTTTTGAATGCTAAAGAAATCGAAATATAAACATGAAAACCCAAGAACTTTTTTGAATGCTAAAGAAATCGAAATATAAACTTTGCAAAACACTATTATTTTGAAGGATATAAAAGGGCTAACCACTTTGGTGTCACTTTATTCAGTAGATATGCGCACTGCAAAACAATGTGATTAGTTGTTTCGTGCTTTATCAATATGGTAAATTTGGCATTATGGAATTAGGACACCCACCAATTGCCCGAAAATCGCATGACTCACAATTTGTTTAAAGCTTAATGCATGTCTATTATGCAGCACTATGTGGATAGAATGCTATGTTCTACTTTATAATATAAGAAAATTCAAAACAACACATTATAGCTATTTTAAGTAATTGTATAAAAACAAGGCACCTTTAGCCCGCGCAAATGCACTGTCACCTGCCATCTGTTAAGTCTTGATGCCTAATACAGTTAACACATGGCTACTCAAAGATACCAGTAACTGTAAATGTCAGTCATATTTAATGTTGTGGTTTAAAGATGTTCACAGACACCTGGGTGATGCAGCAGTCTTAGCCCAGAGGAAGAAAGTCGTTTGATTATTGTGCAAGTAAAATTAAGCTAAATTGCTATTTAAGGGTTGTGACCTAGTAGCGTGAAATACTGACTGAAGTAAGCAGATATACATTAGAAGAAAAAAAAATTAACAGCCAAATATTTTGCTTAAATACCTGTTTGTTAAATACCTGCTTGTGGGTCAACGAACTTTCTCTAAAGTGCACCTGTCACACAAAAATGGATTTACTTTAAAAAGAACTATTATGGATCTATACATTTTGTTGCCAGTTCAGCAGTTGAATTAGTAATGCATATATGAAAACAGGCCCTGAATGGCCATCAGGCAAACCGGGCCCTTGCACGGCTCGCACTATCAAAACGCAGCTCTGCTGTGTGCCATGCCCATGACCAACCAGTGGGGAGATCAAAGATCTTCCTCACCGGCTCAAAGACATTTTGCTGGGGGCGCTAGCGAGGGAGGAAGGAGAGATGAGAACCTGGAAGCTCCAGCTTACAGCTCCGCCAGGGTTCATCCGAGGGCTGGACTGGGAAAAAATTTGTCCAGGGCATTTTTTAATCACAGCGGCCCCCTGAGAAGGGGGGCGGGGCCAGCGAGGATGTGTTTTGTCATCACTAATGACAAGCACGCCCCCTCTCAAAGTGAGGATGTTGGTTCAATGCGCATAGCCCTGCTGAAGAGCTCTAGCATGAGAACAAGGCCTTGCATTTGTTCTACACAGCGCAAGTAAATTTAATAACATGCTTGCACGGTGTTGGCTTTTAAAGGGACACTGTAGTCACTATAAGCATTTCATCTCTTTGAATTGGTTATAGTGCCTGGAGTACCCTGGCACTGTCCCTCCATTCAGTGTTGCACTATGTTCGTGCAGTATGCCACAAAATAAGAGTCCCTGGCCACCCACAGTCCGGCCCCTTCTTCAGTATGTGTAGCTAAGGCAGAGATTACACACTTCCTTGTTGTCATACCCACTCATACCGTCAGTTGGAACTCTGACAGGCTAAAAGCAGTCAGCTGACACTCTCAGCCAATCACAGCTGCCCATTTCTGCTCAGGCTAATACTTCCTTATTAGCAAAAGCAGCACAGAGGGGATGGATTGCCGGGGACTCTTGTTTAGCATTAAAACATTAAAACTTTAAAAACTGTTTAATGCTGATAGAAATGATGGGACCAGAAGACTCCAGACACTATAACCAGTTTAATGAGATGAAGCAGATACAGTGCCTACGGTGTCCCTTTAACTTGTCTCTGGTGTCTCCATAAGTGGGATACCAGAGAACAAAAGAGCCAGGAAACTGTATCATACTAGAGAGTGTGTGTGTATAGGAGGCATAGTGTCAGGGTGTCTTTGCTGTTTTAAACAGCAACCCTTTCTTTTTCAGTGTCTGAGTTTTCAGCTGAGATTAACGATCAGCTCCTTCACTATGTTGCCACGGTTACTCACCTGAGAATAGTAATCAACCCTGCTGCTAATCAGTGCAGCCTGAGCAAATCCCAGTACCTCCTTGCCCTTGCGTGGTTTCCTGTTTGTTCCTGGTCCCTGACTCTGGCCTTGTTCCTGACTTCGCTGCTCTCCGTTCTCCTGATCCTGGCTCGTCTGACTACCCGCTCTGGTGACTGACCCCTGCTTGCCTCCTGGACTTTGCTTTTGGTTATTTCTTTATTTGTTATTTAATAATAAAGGTGTTTTTGCATCTAGTTCTGTCTCTGTCTGGTTCCTGGTCCCTAACACATAGTGTGTATTGGGCATGTAGCGAGTGTGCACATACCGGCTGGAGTGTGTGTTTAGAGAATGTAGCATGTGTTTTGCTAACAAGGAATGTAGTGTGTGCATAGGGAATCCAGAGTTTGTATGTCAGGAATGTAGTGTGTGTGTGTAGGGGATCTAGTGTGTAAAGGACCCAGAGTGTGTATAGGAGATTGTGTGTAGTGGATTTAGAGTGTATATAGGTATCTACTGTGTATGTGTAGATTAGATGATCCAGAGTTGGGTAGGGGATCTAGCGTGTATCTGGAGCGTAATGTGTGTAGTGGTGCAGTGTGAGGGGTGCTGTAGTGTGTGTATATATATATATGTTTGGATGTATTGTATGTGTGAGGGTCAAGTGTGTTGGGTGTGCTGTGTGTATGTGTGAAGGGTGCAGCATGTGTGTGTGTGAGGGGTGCAGTATGTGTGTGAGGGTGTTCTTATCTGCCATCATATTCTATGTGTCTCTCTTTGTCTGTTAACTCATTGAGGGTTATTTTATATATTATATATGTGTGTGTGTGTGAGGGTGCTGTGTGTGTCTGAGGGTGCTGTGTGGGTAAGTGTGCATTTGTGTAAGTGTGGTGTGAGTGTGCTGTGTGAGTGTGCTGTGTTTGTCTACGAGTGCTGTGTGTGCGTGAGGGTGCTGTGTGTGTGAGTGTGCTGTGTGTGCGTGAGGGTGCTGTGTGTGTGAGTGTGCTGTTAGTGCGAGTGTGCTGTGTGTGTCTGATGGTGCTGTATGTGTGTGCTATGTGTGTCTGAGGGTGTTCTGTGTGTTTGAGGGTGCTGTGTGTGTGTGAGTGTGCTGTGTGTGTGTGAGTGTGCTGTGCGTGTTTGTCTGAGGGTGCTGTGTGTGTGTGTGCTGTGTGTGTAAGTGTGCTGTGTGAGAGGGTGCTGTGTGTTTGTGTGAGTGTGCTGTGTTTTTGTCTGAGGGTGCTGTGTGTGTAAGTGTACTGTGTGTCTGATGGTGCTGTGTGTGTGAGTGTGTGTGTCTGAGGGTGCTGTGTGTGTGTTGTTTGGGGGGCAACATGTAAATATATTAAATGTTTTTTTTAATTTTATTAATAAAACTAAACTTCGTATCCCCCCTCCCTTCTTACCTTTAGCCTGGGACGGGGGAGCCATGCTGCCATGGAGGAGTCTGCATGCTGCAGTCCCTGGTGGTCCTAGTGGTGAGTGAACTCTACCCTGCAGTTCCTGGGGTAGAGTTTACTCTTGCGAGATCTCATCGTTGCCGCAGTAACCGTGGCAACGCTCCGACCTCGTGAGAGGATCCTGGCGGAGCTGCTGGCTAGATCTCCACCGGGTCCTCCTCTCCCTCCCTCCACAGCCAGCGGCAGTGTTACAGTGTCTGTGAGCCGGTGGGGAAATCTTTGATACGGTATATATATCTTTGATCTCCCCACCGGCCCACGAAGGCACACAGCAGGGCCGGCACTCTGATAGCGCCAGCCCTGCATGGGCCGGCCGGGTCGATCATGTGATCTCCCCTGC